CCTCCTACCCAAATCTGATCCAGCTTACTTTCCAATTCCTTCTTATCTTTCACACCCAGAAATCTCACGAAGCCGAATCTGCTCCCATTCTTGCTTTTTTTGTTTGGTGCATAGATGTCATAGACCCTACCATACCTGAGAAACATTCTCCACATCTCATCATAGCTCCAATCATCCGGATAATTTGTGAAGAAATATGAAGTAGCTTGTTTATAAAGACCCTAATTGTATGGCCCGTCCTTCTGCATTTTCCGACCATGGTTTTGATTAAACTGCATTTTCCCCACTGCCACCTGACCCCATGTTGCTCCCAGTTCAGTGCCGGCTGTCTTACCCATGAACGATGTCCACCGAGATCCCAACTCACTTTCTCGCTAACTCTCTCTCTCATCTCTATGTGCTTGTGTCTCTTATCGAACTAACTTTTCTAAATGTAAATCGAATTCTAAAAAACATTTCTTATTCAAAAGAAGACACTTAACTGAGAAACACTTGAACTGATATATGAAAATATATGGGCAACCACTTTCTCAATTTGATAATTTGATTTCGTAGAACGTATCTCCAGGGCGGAAAGGATCATCTTTTTTGTAAAGGGTGATCATGTTGATGTTACCGGCTTTAATGCCTCTGCTTTGTACAAAATTTCTCCAGCCTACACCACTGAGATATGGCTTACCATTCTTCGTGCTGTAGTCGAAACTCCATGTTGTATTCTGTTCATCTTTAACCTCCAACTTTCCACTCAGAGGTGGAAGTTCTCCCCATAGTGAATGTGAATCATTGGGAAAACTCATTCCATTTTCGATGTTTTTCTCAACCTTCTTGTAACGCTCCAAAACCCAAATCCAAGGATGTAACAGACGTCGTACACTTATGAGACGGGTTTCACAAGTGCACAAGGCTCGAAACTTAACCATACCACAAAATCTATTTTGATACCATAAAATCTCAAGGAAAAATCTATCTTATAAAAGAATGATAATATCTAAAACTTATATCCGATTACAAATGGCTAGCCTTCTACCTGGTCACTCCCCTTGGTTTTTGTGTCTCGAGTCACACTACCTGAAATGGTGGACGAGAAAAACGAGGTGAGATAACTCAGTAAGTAAAATATGGGTAGCCCGTAATTAAACTCATAACATGCCAACAAGTGTAATCACGAAAAACGGGTACGGTACGGAAATGAAATAGACGTCTCCTCTATAGGTCATGGCCAGTGTTATAAACCTCCCACTAGCAGGCACACTATTTGCTAGTGTATAAGCACACTATTTGCTAGTGTATAAGCACACTATTTGCTAGTGTATAATCACACTAGCAGGATAACAGTATCACAGAAACGAACCGGTTCTATCAATAATATGTCGACATGTGCTAGCGTTTATAAACCTCCCACTAGTTGGCACACTAATAACAAGACCATATCGGAGACAAAATAGGCAGAAGTTAACAGAAAAATCATAATTCACCAATCACTTTCAGATCATCAAGACAATCAATTAAATTTCAAGTAGGCATGCTCAATTTAATGAAAAGCATAAAAATTTCACTTCAAATTAGTGATGCTCGTGTAAAACGGGTTTAGTCCCGCCACTATTTCAAAACCATCAAAAATTTGCTTTTAAAAGCTTTACCTTAAATCCAGGGTATTACCATAAGTTACCTACCTTACTTGCATAAAACGGAAGACTCGATCCAAGTGCTAAAGCGAACGAAGGATCAAGAACCTAACCAAAGCCTCATTGTTCCCTCCCAATTGAAACACGAGATTCCTAGGGAAAAGAATATAACATTCAACAAACAATCCATTTTTCAATTATAAACCACTTAACTCGCACCCCCATCTACCGCCATATTTATTTCCTTATTATTATTTTTATTTCCAAGATTTGAGCACTAAAAGCAAATTGTGCACACACACACACATATATATATACACATTTATAAAATTGTCCAATCTCACGGACAAGAACATGGAGACCCACGGCTTTGCCCAACAATGGTTAAGTCATGGGATTTTTCTCTATACAATTCACAACAGCCAAATTAAGCTAATCTCTACTTAAATTAAACAAAAAACACCATTTAAAGCTATCAAAATTCTCCTATCTTCCAACATAATTTTCGGACAGCACAAGGGTAGCACTAAGTGGATTAAACTTCAACAAGCAGCAATTAAGTGGGTAATTCGGACTTAGAGGAGTGGCCATCATACCAGAATTTTTCTAGCTGCAGAACCAGACCTGGCAGGGGGAAGAGGCCGGCGGCAATTCTGTAGGGGAACTCACGGAATTAACCCAAAAATTGGAAGAACAAACCAGGTTAGGGTGAACCCAACATAAATCAAGGTTAAAGAGAGGAGTTTCGGGGCTAATTCTTACCGAAAAGACCCAAAATTTCACACCCACACACCCACAACAGCTTGCGACGGGAAGGAAGAACAGAGCAGATTGGCAGTTTCCAGCTTTAGAGGGAGGGTTCTAAGTCCCACAGCTTGTTCTTGCACAAGAAAGAGGGGAAAATATCCAAGCTTTGTCACCAATTTTCAAGGAGGAAGTCGACGGCTGGGGAGGGGCTTGTCGGGGAGAAAAAGAAGAAGAGCAGGTCGCGGGTCTGATGAGGAAGAAAAGAAAGAAAGAAAAAAAAGAACAAGAAAAAGCAGCTGATCCTTATCTCATTTCTTTTCTTTTAAGTCCCTAAACTTTGGAGTTTTTAGCTATTAGGCCCCAAAACAATATTTCCTCTCATAAAAGTCCTTACTTAATGCTAAAATATCACAAAATTTTGGGATATTACACTTCTTCTCAAAAATCCTCACCATTGCTACTGTTGGCTGTTGGCTACGTGCAAATGCGCTCTGAATTTGAGAACTTGAATATGATCATATATTTATAACCGGTTGTTTATGAGATCAAAGTTAACAATTAGTAGTATACTAGGTAGGTAGGATTCTGTTTTGATTGAGAGAGAAAGCCACACGTTAACATCAAGAGAAAATAAAAGGTTTCTGTTCAAGAAAAAAGAAGAAAGAAAAGAAAAGGTTAACATCATGAGAAGAAAAAGGTCATATTTTGTGCTACAGACCACGTGATGCACAATGGTATTTTTAGATTATATAAAAAAATCTAATTTATTAATAATCTTAAGTGAGGGAATCTTACCTTAGAAAAATAAGAAGAAAGAAATATTTAGTTTAAATGTAATTAGATAAATTGTTCAATTGGTTTTCCATTGGATGCTTAACTTATGTTTAGTCTTATATGTTAAATATTTGGACAATAATTAATATATCCTATGATTTAACATATCTCATCATATATTCATTAAAAAGTTAATACTTTTAAATCTGAATTTAAAACGAAAAAATTTCACTTGTAAAATTTAATAACTAAACTGATAAATTAAATCAAAGAGTATATCAATTATTATCTTAAATAATTATATATTATTAAGGTAGACTCCACTCTTACTAAACCTATTATTATTAACTTGCATGAGAAGTTGTGAAGGCCATTTTAAGCCTACATGTGTACCATATCATGAGGATATAATTAGGTTTATACACTTGACTAGCAATTCAAAAGTACGTACATAAGAATGGGCCCTACCATGTGGTTTTAATAAAATGAAAGCATAAGGAAGCTTAACTTAATATTTTAAAGAAAATAATGCTAAATAAACTGTTTATAGGGAAAAAAAAGTTTTAAACTCAACTATGGCAAAATAAAAAGCCCTGTACTTAATTGATTCCTAGTTCTACTACTATTATTACTAATTAATTTTAAATTTAATAATTATTTGTGTTCAAATTTACATGTTAATGTTCATAGATCCTTCAAGTAAATAGTGCAAGTACGTGATGCATCAACCGGTGACCATGTTGAATAAACTGTTTATTTGATGTAGCTTTCTTAATATTATAATTACAAAAATAATTAATTAAATATACTAATTTACTTCAGCTACAAGTTAATTGGGTAGCCATAATGAATTTGTCAGTGTACTTCAATTTAGACTACATATTCAACTCTCTCACTAAATATGGTGAGGCGGTTCTAATTGTCATACCGTACATATTTGTCGTTTTCTTGAGGTTGTTAAGGTTGAGTAATGCACCTGACAGTCAACAATGAAATGACAGTCAACTGTATCTGAATTAAAAATAATAATAATAATTAAGAATTTGTATATTAAACGCAAATAGAAGACTTTCGGATTGGGCTAAGGCAAGCAATTTATTGATTTTTTTAATTAAAATAAAATTTTAAATTTAAATTATTTGATATGTAAATAAGATGAGTTAAAAATAAAATATAATTATATTTTATTATAAAATTTAAAATAAAAAACTTAAAATCTCATAT